AACGTATACTTAGCAAAATTGATCAGATTTTAGGAGCATAAAAACACCAAGTGAATCTTGAATCACTTGCTTTTTCTATGAAATTTGAGATAGTCTCTTCTTTTTGTTGCTGTTTTTTTGAGAGAAACTATATATATAGTAAACTTCTTCATATAGAGTAAAAGTTTGAAAAGTGTGCTATGACTGTGAAACTTTCTACCAAATGTCAATTGGCTCCTATACAGGTCCAAGTGCAAAAATCGTACCCGTGCAGGACACTTGTTTCTACTTGTCATTTACATTGGAACTTTATCGACGAACGCCCTTAAAATCTATTTCAACATATGACAAATATTTTCATTAAGATAATTTTGATTGCCTTGGCTCAAGATACGTAAAAACAAGTTATTCTATTTTCGATCCTATTAAATCATATAAGTTTTCTGATTAATTCAGTAGGTGTATAAGATAACTCATTCACAACAATAGAATATTTCAGAGTTGTAACTGAATCCCTTGAAATAAAATTTCTTGATATATCATTTTTCTCTGATAAAATTTGTTGAGAACAGGTTCGAATGTTCTTATCAGAATAAGCAAACAGTTTTATTTTAAAAAATATCATTTTTTATTTCTTTGATCGAAGTATATTTTATTTAAAAAACTGTGTTATTACAGCTAAATTTCTCAACTTATTTCATTGATGTTTCTTGCCGGAACTCTTGATGAAACTTGACATAAATGTTTGATTAATGGAAGTACATTAATAAAAAAATGTCACATCTCTATACCTCACCACTAAGCAGATTTCTAGGAACAGAGCTCCAGAATCTGCGTTGCTTTCATTGTTAGAATCATCGAAGATTTATGTAACATTGATGATTAATTAGAAAATTCTTTTCCATCGTCTCGAAAACTATGCATATATATATCCACGGATTAAAAACAAAAACACAGATTTATAGAATGAAGCATATTGAGAAAAATTTGTCAGCAGTTCGACCATTACCGAAAACAAAAATTTTGAGAAAAACACAAAAGAAAGTTTTTTATATAGTTTTTCTATTATTTAGTAGCGAAACCAGGGGCTCTAGCAGGAACTCAGCCATCCTTCCTGTCTACGGCATTTTAATGTCAATCTAAGCAATGGTCTATGCACATCAGATTGTCTATGTACGACATACATCACAATTGAGCATACTACCTACTATTGGCAATATATTTGTTAGATCATTCAACAACATGATAAAGACAGATAAATAACCAATTAATTTTTATAATTCCCTAGTTGTTTTACAGTTTTTTAAAGGTTAATAATGATGATTAGTTTTTCTACTTTGAGGGTATAGAAGAAGATAAGATCTTCATCTCGCATGTTCATATGTTTAACTCAAAAATCATTTTTTTGCCGAAAATCAAATTTTCTGAACCAGATGCCTCAAGACACCAGATTTAGCTTTGGATTGTGATTCGATTTTTTGCGAAATCTAAGTAGAAAAATTCAAGATTTGCAGTTTAGCAACAGCCTATCGAGTAAATGGTTCTTTTTTTCCGTGGTATACAGACAACCATCACATATTCATCTTTGAGAAACGTAATAGACTTAAACAACAGCAGGGACTTCAGCCTTGAAGTCTTATTTGAAATTTTAAGAAGTCTGTTGTTTCTCCGTCATATAGACCTGAGTTGAAAAAAGAGAAAAATGAGTGTTCTTTTATAAATCATTCTTATTAAGCGATTCGAAAATTCTCGATCGGTTACAACTTTAAAACATTTAATTATTCTTAGGTTCGTATTCCGTTAATTTTTTTTTCTTATCATTCAAATCTTGATCCATTTTAATCTTTCGTGGGTTTCTGATTTCGGTAAAGCTTCAAATTTAGGCCTTCGAATGTGCAGTTTCGATGAACAGTTTACTGCAACTGCACATCCCTATTTTAGTTTCGTATATCTCTAATCTTGACGTCTAATTCAAATCGATGGCTTAAAATAGAAAGAAAACGTTCTAAACGAACCTCTACCTTGATTCGAACCATTCGTACAACATCATTTTTATCGATCAATGGTGATTCAGGTAATAATGGTTCATTCAATAATTCATTAACAAAACGTGATTTTCCATTATAACTTTGTGAACAAATAATAAGTGCTAATGGACGTGTTTTTAATGCGTCAAGATATTCACGATCAGATTTCGATATATGTATTTTAGAAATTTTTTCTAAATCAAAAGAAAAAAAAGAAAAATTTTCTTTGTCTTTTAGATTAAAAAAAAACAACAAATAATTCTTCATACCTGGCGTAAGAACATGTGTATCACTGATTTCATTGTAAGATTTATCTGTTTCTTTGAGTAATCGTTGAATATGTTGACAATAATATTTATAACGTCGAATAATGTCTGCAAATTGTTGAGTTAGGGTCGACGAATTAATTGGTAGTGGATTAATACTCAATGAAAGTGATGATGACGATTTTCCAGCATTGGATTTTATTGTCATCGGTCTATTTTTATCTGTCATTTTGTTTTTCTTTTTATAGTTTTTAAAACATTATCTGAAAAAGAAAACCATAAACATAGAATAAAATATAAACAAAGAAATTTTAAAATCTAAACTACGAAGAAATTATTAATAAAACTAGCATACTTCTCCGAAGGTCATGAAGTTGACCTTCAGCTTCTTGATACTTTTGAAATACATAACCATTTATCTATGTTTCATTACTAAATAAATATCAAAGTTAAATATACCACGTGTAATTGTTCTTCTCCTATCTTGGAATAGCCATAAAAATATATATATATAAATGAAAACCTTCTCGAATTCAAACTTGACTAATTCACTAATACCATTTATTGTTCTTCTTTCGAGAAGGAAAAGAAGTACTTGATATTCTATGAAACTTACCTCTATCTAATGTTACATTACAAGCAAATACAAACCAACTTTTTTCTTTTCTACTTGTCAACATCAAAAGTATATATATATTGACGTCATTTTAGTAAAATTATTATAACTGGTTACATAGAAGACCAGGGTTGTCGATTGTTTTGAAATATGGGAGGGGTAAAAAATTCGCCAGAAAATCGGGAAATTTTGGCAGAAAGTACCTCATTTTACATGTCGACAGCAACCGAACAAATAATGCTACTTTCGTCGACTTTCTGAGAGATTTTGGGGAAAAAAAGTGTTTTTATTCGATTTTCTGCCAGAAAAATGCCAAAAAGTGCTTAAAAATCGAATTTCTGCAAGAATTTACAATGAAACTTTTTAAATTTTCGCAGAAAATCGGACGTGTTTTCAATTTTTGGTGGGGGAAATCCCCTCCCCCTCCCCCTCCCCCTAATCGGCAAGCCTGGTCACACCCGTATCCACACCCACTCTACCACTATAGCCTTTCAAAGGAGATACTTTTTAAATAAACATTGAACTATTTAAATAAGTCTTTATAGCAGTTTAAAGCTTTTATAGCTATTTCAAACTTAGTTCTCTAACAGCAAAATCATAGTAATTCAAAGATTGTTGATCGTGATTTTAATGACATATATAACTGCTAAATGATTTTAAAAGCTGTTGAATTTTTATCTCTATACCTCTGTGCATTTTTTGTTTGTTTACATAGATAGTTTTATAAAGTTTCATCTAACAAATGGTTTTCAGAAAAGAACTTGAAAGAGCTTTTTTCGGGTACCCATTTGGCTAAAAATTAATCATGCTGACTTTAAATTTTTTTGAAGCTTCCGAAGAATAAATAGTCATTGGAATTCATGAAATACTAATTGTTGGTCTATTAATAATAGTTATATTTATAATAAAGACTTGTTCTATTCAAAAGTGTTTGTTTATTTAGATGAAACCTTTATTTACATAGAAAATAAATAAAATAAATTGGTCCAAACATGTTGGTGATGGATCATTATGAGTTCTCAACTAAGTATTGTAACAAATTATTATTTATCATAGCTAAGTTGTGTTATTTATGTTGCATGATTATCAACTAAAGTAAATGTTCAATTATTCGTTTGATATGTTAATGTTTCACTAAAATCATTATTGATTGGGTTGAAAACATTAACTTGTTGAACCAGTTGTTGTATTTTCTGGAATAGATTAATTTCTAAAGAAAAAAAGGAATATTTTTTTAAATAGATTTTGATATAGCTAATAGTAGACAATGTTAAATTATAAAATAATTTCTTTTAGTCTTCAAGTTCAATTGAAAAAAAAACATTAAAAAAACAGGAGTGCCATTAGTTAATAGATGGCTAAGTGCAATGTTTAATATTAATAATACGTTCATTTTCATAATTTAATGGCAATCTATCATTTGCATGACAATGTTCAAAATATTTCCATGCTGCCTAGAAAAGCAGAATGAATTTAAAAATAAAAAGGATTTCATTTAAAAAATTTTACTAGTAAATTTATTCTTTTAAAATTGAATCCTTCATTGCCAAACTCAATAAGATTCATAGTATGGTCACGTATACTATTTTCGCGAGTTCAATTGTCAACTAATTTATTTTTATGAGAATTTTCTATCATTATAATAACAACAAAAATCTTAGACGTTGTAAAACACAATCTAAAAAGAAAATTAAAGTATATAGCATGAAAATTTAGACCACTCGTCTGTCCTCCCCCTCCACTCTCCCGCTCATAGACCGTGACAGATGGTCTGTTGAGATCATTACAGATCATAGCTGACGTTGTTGATACACTACTAAAAATCGGTACACCGACAGTTGAGCTCCCGACAATTGAGCCCCGACAGTTGAGCCCCGACAATTGAGCCCCCGACAGTTGAGCCTCCCGA